GTTGCTGATATTCCTTTTTTGCTATTTGATGACAAGTTTTGCTGCTGGTTGAGCTCTTCTCCTATCTGCAACTTCCTGATCCACTTGTTATTATTATTATGAAGATGTTCCAGTATATATATGGCAGGGAAGCATTGGTTAAGGCTCTGTCTGGAGGGTGAGGCAGGTCCCTATCCTAGAGGTTGTTTTAATGAGGTTTTTGAATTTCTTGTGCACAGAAAATCAAGAAGCCTGAAAAGGTTCTTGAAAAAATTCACATTGCAATATAAACATCTCTGTGTACAGAAAGAAAAACCCTTTCTGACTAACAAATTGCTAAACTCTGATTGGTGCTTTGTAGGCTTTGCAAGCATGCAAAGCTTGCTGCTGGATACCAAAAACCAGTACGTCCATTTGCACTCATATTTGATTCCAGATCTGTGCCATACATAAGGGTGCCTACCTTATATGCAACCAGAGATTCACACCATTGTAAAACCATAATAAACTTTTTTGTAAATCTGCCCCAATCACATCTTTTTTGTTTTTTCTGGGACATTCCATGAGTTTCCAAGATAGACTCTTTCTCAAACTTTAAGACTGCAGTACAAATCCTACATATAAAAAAGTATAAAACAATTTTTCTGCTCATTCATCTTATTCCCTCATAATTTTCAAACACCATAAAAAACACTCAAAACACTCAAAAACAAAATATAGACTATCACACAAAGAATCATAGTCACCATCATAAAATTATCATATCACCATGATGGATGATGGTGCTGATTCTTTTGACAATTGAGAGTATCTGGTCAGTGAAGGATCAGAACCTGTTGAAACAGGAGGAGAGATTGACTTCAATGCCAAAGACAGCTTGGGTGTTTGGTGACAATGCAGAGGAATGGTCTCCTACAGAGTTGGTATGAAACTTCCGGATGTGCCATTCATACATTTTTAATATAGTATTCCACTAGTACTTAGACCCCCCAACTTCCCCATATGGCTAGGATCTTGTTTCAATTTGATTTTGATTTATGTCTTACCATACTACCAAGTATCTGTTTGGGACCAAGATAAAGCTATTCAAGTGAGCTGGTCCCTACTTAATGCCCTGCATGGATTTTGGACCATATTTTAGTACTGTGTAATGATGTGTGGGATTAAAAATTTGCCTTTTACTACTGGTATCATAGCAAGAGCACGTGCATGCAAAACTACTATGATTTGATTGCAAGACACCAGCAGGTGGGAATAAAATTTGGGCATGTGCCCCCCTGTAACTTAGTATGATTCAGCTTTGTAGTCAAACTATTAATTATACTCAAAATAAGGCCCAAAACCAACAACTAGTTTGTAGATTTAATCGCCAACTCTATACAATACTCCACCTGGAGCAGGTGCAATCCCAGGTCCTTGCCATGGAGCAAAGAAAGCATTGGATGGCTACACTAACAAGAAGGTTGAAGGGTTGGCATGTTTATTCTTGTTCTTCCTTGATGAAAAAATTCTTCAGCTGATAGCAAAGAAGAAATCCAACCAATACACTCACCATTGAAGATTGGGTAACAGAAGCTAAAGCTGCTGATCCTGATGGACAGGTAAAGAAGAGAAAGACACCCAAGCTATACAAGGATGTCACCTGTTCCAAATGAAGGAAGCATGTTCTAAAGTCAATGAAAGATAAATGGAACTTCAGTTGTGATTAAATTTTGGCCTGGTTTCATATATATCTTCTTTGTAGAGTTTAGTTCAATGTAATCACCCCATCTTTTGGGCTGGTCTTGAGAATGGTAGTATTTATGCTCCCTTTGTCAGAAACACAATAAACAAGAAAGATTTGCCTTTGTTTGGTGATATGTTCTTCATGTTGGCAACAGCAGAACCCAGGCCAATCACACTGATGACCCCTCTATAAAATTAGGGCTCCCATGATAGAGAAAATTTCTGGTCTTCTTTGTCTTGGGTGGTATGCAAATATTGAGTTCTCTGTTGAAAAGTCAATGGTTGTTAACAAAGGAAGAGCAGTAGTCTGGTTTGTCCAGTTTCTTGTTCCCAAGAAGTCAATCACCCCAAGAAGACAATCAAGCATGGCATCAAGGTATACTGTCTTTGTGATGCAGACACTGGAAACTTACTTGCCTTTCAGATCTACTCTGGTGTTAGCAGTAGTGGGTCCACCTGGGATAGTATTCAGCAGTTGTTGATAATTCAATCCAACCTTGGAGAAGAGAACGCCAGTCATCAACTGTTCATGGAACACTTTTACACTACAATGAATGCTGTGACTAAGTTGTTATGAACAACACAGATCAATATCAGCCAGAACTGTTCTTCAGACAAAAAAAGAAGATCATTTCCAAAGCTATGGAAAGAAAGTGGAGACAAAGAGAAGGTCCAGAGGATAAAGAACAACAAAGAAATGTGATGGTCCACAAGTACAAAAGACATATTCAAAAAAGTTCAATGGTGTTGACATCTCAGACAAGAAGGATAGTGTAAAGTATTCAACATTACTTTGCACAAACAGATGGTATCTTCTTATTTTCTTCTGGTTGCTTGACAGAGCAGGGCATCCCTGCTACATAGTTGTGACCAGCCTTGCATGCAACAAGTTTCTGAAGGAATGGGCAGTGTGTAAATCATCCATATACAATGGGAGGAAAAGATTTTGAGCTGATCTTGGCATTGTTGCATTCATGAATAAAGGTATCAAAATGGATTGGAAAGCTACATATGATGAAGAGTCTGCAAAGCTAAAGTTGATGCCTCAGACTTCTTCAAAGAATTGAAAATATCACCCTTGTAATTGTGGGATTTGTATCTTGTTCTATGATGTGAACAAGAAGACCAGCACCATTGCTCATGGAAAGGTAACATCCAAGCCACATGAAGAAAGATGAAATAGAAGGAGTGAAGAGGAACTATTGTTTTGTTTGTGTAGAAGAAGTAAAGTAAATGTATCCTAGTAACTCATCAGTGGGGAGATCGAGGAAGTTGCCAGGGATCAGTATGAAAATGCCAACAAGGAATAGTAGTTGCAGAAGTTGCAATGTTGTTCCATGTATGGAGCATTGGGGTAATTTAAACCATCAGATGGTATGTAGTGATGTGTTTCTGACAGCAGGATATCATATCATACATATGTCTCATACCTATGATAAATAAATTTGACTCATATAAGCTCTAGTACATTCACAATTTACTCAATCCTATGGGGATCTTCACAACTGACTTGACTCACTTGATTCTCAGTTTGATTGATGTTAGATAACAAAGAATTTTTTCTAAATTTTCCAGGTTGGAACATTTGGCAACATCACAATTAACAAAAAAGAAGTTAATCACACATCATGCATAGTATTTCTACTAGTGGTCTTGCATGATACTGCTGATTCTACTCGTCATTCTTCACAGACATTTGCCCAAAAACGACCATAATTAAGTGGAGGACACTCTTTCAGCACCACTAAGAAATGGTTACAATGACACTCCTCATAGTGGAACAGAGGAAGTACAATTACTATTACTACTACTATTACTAGTACTAGAAGTAATTTACAAATTGATATTTTCCTTAGTACTACTAGTAGTATTTTATTCATTTTCTACAGTGTATGCTAATTTGACTATCTTTAAGCTACTATCACTTGTTCACTACTAGTAGATGATTATTGCTAAACAGAGGAGGGTACATTGAATGAATGTTCTGACTGTATCATGTACAAAGTATTGTAAAGGCTTGGCTATGTTTTTCTGGCCAATTTAATCGTGCATTTTTAATACTCAATATAGGTACAGTAATATAACCAAATACTACCGTACTGTTCCTCCTACGGTACTCGTTGCAACAAATTGTACATCAGCTGGCCAAGCCTATACAATAAAGTCAAAAAGAGAAGTGACATCAATATTACTAGTAATCTTCCTCATGTAGTTTTGGTCAATTGTTGTTTCTTCCATCCTTTCTCTATTGTACAGCCTTACTACCTGTGAGTTTCATAGTAACAATTGATGGGAAAAACATAGTTTTAATTTGAAGTTTTTACTAGCAAAGAACTTCAAATGTCTTGGTACAAATTCTACCAGATTGTACACACTACTAGTTTGAGTTTGGAAATGACGACCCAATGACATTCATGATTGAAAAACTGGATTCATGATTAAATGAACTCAAACCATTTTTTGTTTTGAAAGGAATCAGTGAGGCCATCCACCAGTCATTTGAGAAAAAATAGCTCTGTGGAAGAAAATAGTACAGCAACTTGTACAAGCAGGAGGTCATAACTTTGAAATGAAGTTAGTACTAGTTCATTGTTATGCAACTCTTTGTAGTAAATTCCTCACCAGTAGTATCCCCAAGGAGGTCTGGTGTACTAGCATCCAACCTACTACTAGTAGTATAAATTAGTACTACTACCACCAAATTTTTTGATGTAGCTACTACTACTAGTACTTGCAGTGTTTGAAAAAAAACAGACAGGTTGAAGTTGGGAATCCAAATGAGGTGTATTGTTCCCTCCATAAAGCCGGACCTGTGTTCCACCTCATTAGGGTTCGTTCATACTACTACTAGTACTGTAGTACTTCACTTGGGTTTGAGTCATCAGACATGCATTCTACGGCACTTGTCGTTATGCTAACGGTCGGAAATAGGACGGCGGTAAGCACGAGTTCCGACTGTAAGCAACGGATTCATACAGGGAAGAGAACGGTTTTTCTCGGTTGTTTTTTTCCCTAAGTCTGTCAAATAATGAGATAATCGCCTCGCTCTCGGATTCTAGAGAGAATAACATATAAGTAAAATTTAAGTGTTTCGGAATTCATGCGTTTTGGCACGTGCTTGCTAAAGATTCGTCGCTAAATATTTTTAAATACTTAGGAAAATTAGATACTACATCGTCCCGAGCATTGGAACAACATCGCCGACCGGAAGAAAAATGGGATCGCCCACAATTCGAACGAAATTTTCAAAATATCTTCTCCCGAAACAACTTCTCGTGAGGGTAGGCTCACAATAAACTCAATACTGTGGTTTGCCTCGCACTTCCACTTGTGATCATTGTAACCACTTTTTTTTATAATATCACAAATCACGAACGCAACGAATTGAAAATGAAGTTCGCCACTGCTTTCACCGCCCTAGTAGCTTCAATGGCTGTCGGCGCCGAAGCCGGTATGCCAAAAAACAAGAGACAGTTTAAGAAAGAACTGAACCGACGAATGAAAAACGGACAGTTCGATGCAGCAACACTCATGAGAGGTGCAAAGCCACACAACGAAGCGGCGAAGCGTCGTAAGCTTGATGACGATATGCAGGTCACCTCCGCCAACAGTATTCAATTCGTTAGCTGTTTTTCCTTGACCACCTCTTACGAAGACCTTTTCGATGGTGATGACAACGACGGCCAGCTTCAGACATTGTATTCGCAAGGCCAAGTAATGGCAATGGAGTCGTACGCGATCTTCCGATTGTGCAACAACGGAAGCTGCAACTACAACAACTACATGGAGTACGTCATTGACTTGAATACCTATGTAGCGGCACTCGTGAACTACTTGCCCACGCAAATGGAGAATTACTGCGAGGGGTGCAAGGAGAACCAAGACTCTTGTTATAACCAAAACTACGGCGGGAACCAATACGATGGTCAGCAATACGGAGGCCAATATGGAGGTAACTACAACAACGGCAACAACGCGAACCAGAACCAGGACGAAAACAGGAACGAGAATGACAACGCGTACAAATACCAGCAATACAACGCGTATGACAACAACTACAACGGTGCACAGGTCAACAACGTGAACTACAGCGGACAATACGGCCAGTACAACAACGGCAACAACCGGAAGCTGGCAGAGCTCCATGAGTTTGAGTCCCGTGTCCTTCAAGGCCAAGTCGTGAGGGAACTCGATTGCGACCTCTGTGTCGAATACTCTTGTTTTGAAGAGGAAGGAGGCAACAACAATAACAACCAACAAAATGACTACAACTTCGAAGATGCTTCCGAATGGCTCACTGAGATGTCTCAATGTGTCGACCTCGAGGCATCGTACAACCCCTATGGTTACCAAAACGGCAACAACGGAGGCGGCGCCGATGACAACAACATCTTCGCAGGACTTGTTTGCAACGGTGATGGTACAGGTGTTGAAATCGGTTTGTTTATGGACGAAGACTGCCATTTGTATCTTACCAATGAGGCATACTCCAACTACATGAGTTACAGTGACCAGACCTACGCGCAGATGACGAAAGAAATTGTGGAATTCACTTTCTCTAGTGCAGTCTTCACCTGCAACGACGAAGACGTTGTCTACACCACTAACCTTCAGAATTACTACGCAAACAATGGTTACAACAACAACAACAACAACGGAGGGGAAGACAGAGGTGAGGTCTCGGAATGGTGCGAACAACTCTTTGAAKGTGATAACGAAAACGAAGCCGTTCCTATTGAAATGGCCACTTGCGGAGCTTACGCCCAATATGGCGGCAATGGTTACTACGATGGAGGCCAGAACTGGCAAGAGAAGTACGACTCGTACATGAACCAAAATGAGCAAAACCAATACATGTATATGTACGACTGGTACAGATTCGAAATCTCCGAAGACGACGCATACGACATGCAAGCAGTCTGCAAGGTTGTGCGAAAGAGCGGCGGAGAACTTCACACGTTCTATAACTCCGCCAATGGAAACATCTACGACTACAGCAACGGTGCGTCGGACAACATCTCGGAGTTCATGGACGATACCAGCAACAGCATTTTCTTTGGATCGGACAAGCTCTCTGGTGGAGCCAAATTTGGTATCGTTGTCTTGATCGGTTTGATCTCTGGTGCGGGTGTCGCTCTTTACCTTCGTTTCAAGTCTACCGTCGTCGATGACAAGAATGTCGGCCTGATGGAAGACGTACCCGAACAGAAGGGAGAAGTCGCCTAGACTTTATTATCCACTTTTTTCTCTGCACACTCCTTTCCATACATATACAACTAGTGTCCCATCTTGTCTCAACTATCACCCCTTTTTTATCGACGAATAAAAGATCTGAACATTAATTAAAAAAAGAACACTGATTTATGAATACGTAGTCCTTCACTTTAACATCCCTACTGGTACATCCAACATACAAAAACTAGGCTAGCAGCGATTACGAGTACGAGTACGAACATACGGTTCGTACCAGTTCAATCCAGATTTGAAGTTTTCTTTCGAGACGAGATTTACGCATCTCTCACGAAGCCAAGCACGCATCGTACGTACGGTACGAATGTACCAAAATCGGAAAGGAAGCTATCGGTAGGTACGAGTGCGTGGTACGAGTTGAGTTATCACCAGCCGTAGCCGTACGAGTAGTCAACTGAACTGTACTGGCAAGATTTTTTGGTCGTCACCTTTTCCATGAAGAACCTCTTCGCATTTCTGATTACAGTACCGGTACTGTGAAAGCGGAAGAGATCATTTCGATGTCCAAGTCGAGAACAGCTCTGAACAAGACTTTTACTCGACGAAGTGACACGAATACGACGGCGCAACGCTACATCCAAGCCATGTCTCTTACTGCCATGAGGAACGGTTTCATAGCAATGTTATTGGTAGTCTCGACCAGCAGTCGAATCCAAGTGGCTAATGCCTTGTCATTCCCATCGCCATCGGCATCGCGTCGCGACTTTTTCACAGCTGCTGCCGTGGCAACCGGGACCGCTTCGACGCTATTTCCGATCAATCCACTGGTACCCGGCAACGGCGCTGCCATTGCCGCCGGCATTCCGTCCGTGTACGAAGGAATGTCGGCCTTCGCTGCAAACAAGGTAGAAGAATCCATCACCATCTACGATTCCATCATCCGGGACGATCCACGACGGAAGCCATATCTGTGGCAGCGGKGATTGTCGCTGTATTACGCAGATCGGTACGCAGAGGGTGCCGACCAATTTGCGACCGATGTTGCCGTCAATCCGAACGACACCGAAGAGCAGATATGGCATCTCTTGTGCCTGTCAAAAACGGAAGGTGTCGGTTCTTTGGAGGAAGCCCGGGCTCGCAAGTTGACCGTCGGAAAGGATCGGAGGCCGGTGATGCGCCTCGTGCAGAAGCTTTTCCTGGGAGAAACAAATGGATCGCTGTCTCCCTTAGACACCGAAAAAGAACTGATTGCAATGGCTGGGAATGGGAATGCCAACAACGCGGGAAACCAGTTCTATGCAGCTCTTTATCTATCTCTTTATTACGAAAGTTTGAAGGAAGAAAAACTGTCCCAGCAATGGATGGTCAATGCAGTCGGAACCGAGTATGCCAAAACAATTGGACGGAGAGATCCCATGGTAGACGTTGCAAAAATTGCAATGAAGCGACGTGGGTGGGACTAAGTAGATTAAATCTAACGAAATAAAAGCCCTTTGAAAGTTATATATTGTAGTACGGCTTTCACTATTGTACTTGAGAGAGCTAGCTACAGTTCTGGAAGCGAAATAGGAATTTCCAGACCGTACTCTAATCCATCGTCGTCTTTCCTTTCCTCCTCTTCAGCCTTTATTATCTCCATGAGTTTGTTTGCTCGTTTCTCCGGCAAGTCGAAAATCGCGGAGCCGTCCTTTTTGGAGATGACGACCCTGCCGAGCTTACCCGATCCACGCTGCTTGCAAAAGCTCGTGACAACTGGAGGTGTCAGGGAACTACCACCAATTGAACGAGGATACAGCCGAAGTGTGGTCATGGTCGGGTCTCCAGTCAGCAAGGAGGAGGATTGTGTGTAGGGAGATAAGGATGGATCCAATTTCGACAATCTCACCATGGCATTTGCAAGATGACCGAGAAGCTCTTCTGGATCGGAACTGTCGACCCGCTTGTCGGATTTCAGTTGCTGCTTGAAATACGCTGCCAAATCGGTCGAACGACTTTTGTTGTTGGATGACGACAATGATGGTGTGTCCTGATCACTGTCGTTGTTGAGTACATCCAGCGACAAACGCTGGTAGGCCGCATCGACGACTTTTGCGGAGGAAGGAATTGACATCGACTGAATAGTAACTCCCAGATCGTCTTCAATCGCTTCGACCAATTCCGTTACTAGCTTTCCCTCTCCCACAGCCGGATCGTAGAGGGCAACCGCGTTTGCTGTCTCATACCGGTTCGCTGCGGGCCCCCAGTTGCGATCGTTCGATCCTCCGCGAAAGCGCCCCGTCCGCCCCGTTCGATGGGCATAAAGCTCGGGGTTGATCGTGCCGTCCTTTCCGGCAATCCTAGGAAGGCCAAATTGTACCACCAGGTCCACGTTGGGGAGATCCAGGCCCCGGGATGCAACATCGGTGGCAACCAGGATCTGGCCCGCTTCGCTTTGTGGCGACTGCTGCTGCTCTTTTCGAATTGCGTCCTCTCGGATCATACCAATGCATCTCGAGCGAGCGCTCTGGGACATGTCTCCGTGAAGAATGCGAATGGTCGTCCCGGCGGCCTTTTCGGAGAGGAATGCGGCGACGCTTTCGGTCGCGGATTTGGTGGGGACAAAAACGATGGTCAATCGTGGCGAAAGAACCGATATAAGGTTGGCGGTGATCTCGGGGCGCATCGCAGACTTGCACGACATGTGCCAGTGTCCGACCGTGGCAGCATTCGAGGACGATGCGGCAGAGATCTGGTGTTCTGCGCTATCTGCTGCGCCACCGCTGCTCGGGTCCACGAGCTTTTTGCTGTCCTGGATGCCTTCGATATTGACGAAGGAAGACTCGGGAAATTCCATTTCTGCGGCAAAATCCTTCACATTCTTGCCGATCGTTGCCGAAACGAGAACCATTTGATATTCCGGGTCTTCGTCGTCGCTTTCTTCCAGTGCTTTTTCAATGTCTTCAATGGCCGAAAATACGTCTGGAGAATCCTGTGGATCCAAAAGTAAATCGGCTTCGTCCAAAACCAACGTCGATACCTGCGAGTAATCCATGTGGCCCTCCCTCACTAATTCCCGCAATCGGCCCGGCGTCGTTACCACGATCTGGGGCTTATACTTCAGAAGCGATACGTGTCGCTCGATTGGGACGCCTCCAAACACGGTGGCTACTCCAAATGCCTTTCCAGCCAGCTTGGAGTATTCCTTTCCGACCTGTTTGGCAAGTTCTCTGGAGGGACAAATCGTAATAATGCGGGGAGAAGCTACCTTTTTGCGTTGCCAGGGCCTTCGCTTTGCCGCCGACAACAGCGGGAGCACAAAGGCCAGTGTCTTTCCGCTCCCGGTAGGAGAATGCAGGACTGCGTCCTCTCCCTCGAATATTTTTTCGAAGGAAGCCTGCTGGATGGGAAGGAGCGAGTGAATCCCCCGGCTTGCCATCTTTTCCCGAACGACGGCCGGGATCTTGGAGGAAACGTCCGGCATCAGATCGGACGACGCAGCACGCGGTGTTTTGGGTTTGCTCTGGGGCGGTGGCGATGCGGCAGCCCCCGTCTCGTCGTCGTCAACGATAGAAAAGTCACCCTCGGATAATTCTATTCCAACGGGGGGCGCAGCAGAACTCGAATCACTATCGTCGTCGCCATCATCGTTTTCACCATCATAGCTCTCTTTGTGTTCTTCCTCCACAGCGACCAAATTCATCCTTAGGTAATCCACCAGGTCCTTCTTTCGTTTCAGTTTCGTCAATGTTCCTCGTTCTTGGTCGAGTTTGTTCTCCTTAAGAATTTGCTTCAGTTCCTTGACGGTGCAACTTTCTAGGTCATCCAATAATGACGCCGGTACTTTTCCCACATCGGCGGTTGTCGCAAGCAGCCGGTTTACCCTCGGCGTGGTAGATGAGAACGAATTGGAAGAAAACCCCGAGACCCATCCACTATTGGTTCTGGAACCCAGAAGAAGAATCGCATGGCATGACGAACAAAAGAGGAGCGCCTTCAGCCTTTTGCGTGACCAACGGACCTCAACCTTGGCAACCATGGTGTAAAATACGTCCGATGATGGAATGAGGTAGCCTATTGTTTCAATGCCATGTGTCACGGGCCCTGTGGCATGGAGGGGGGAAATTGGAATGATTGTTGTGTGATACGTGACATGCGTTTCTTTTTTTTGTTTTTGATGTGTTGGATGAATTACGAACCCAAAACCTTAGTTGCGAATGGATGGCAGGCATCCCTCAAATTTATTCCTAATCCTAATTGTGTTAGATTAGACTTTGTAAGAAGAACGGTTTCAATGTACATGCAACCAGTATGTACGTATGGTTCATACTTCTACGATACACCCACTGCATCGTACATCGTAATTGGAAAAGCGTGTATTGTACGAAGTACTACTGTATCGCATTCTTCTTGTAACTCCGAATCCCACTCCAATCGTGGCTACCACCGTTACGAGCACTCCAGTATTCGCCATGGAGCGCAAAAATTATCGTTAGAGCGTTTAGCGACGGCAATCGCGCATTGCACTTGCGCATTGCATTTAGCCGGACACGTGTGGTCGGCTTCTCGTACATCATTTTTTGAGGCTCAAATTTTTTTTAGAATTAGAATGCAATTTACTTAAGAAATCGCAGGGTTTTTGGCATGGCGGGCGCAAATAAAACCGTTACAACTATCCAATCGGCGAGGTTTCCTCGGTCCAGAGGTGCATTGTTGGCGCTGAAAAACTAGTCGTTGGAGCAAGTGTTCGGTTCGAAACTCGGCTAGGAGCTACTCCTTGCGAATAGAGCACGTGCGACGGTACGAGTAAAGTACTGTACGCAACGTTCACTCCCAGTCGACAGTGCTTCTCCGTTGAATCCGTTGTCTGCGTTGTATTTCTACTTCGGAACAGTACTTGTACTCACTCCTACGATACAGAACTATCGACTATCATCGCAACACTTCGCGTAACCGAACAACAGCTACGTTTACATTCACAACACAAACACAAAAGCTTACTCAGCGAATTGGTTCAGATCCGATACAATATCACAATATACAGATCACCATGAAGTTCCTCCMTATCGCACTCACAGCACTTGTTGGCCTGACGGAAGGCCGCAAGCTCAATGCCGCCGACTTGAACCGCCGCATGAAGGCCGGTTTGGTCAACAAATCCGTCCTCATGCGTGGCGCCAAGCCCTACAACAAGGAGGCCAAGCGTAAGCTCGAAGAAGACGCTGCCTTCGAAATCACCGGAAAGTACAGCATCCAGTTCAACTCCTGTACTTCCATGACCGTCCAGAGCAACGACCTCATGGAAGACGAGAACCTCATCGCCATGGCCGCCAACGGTGACTTGGTCGCGGACAAGGACTACATCATTTTCAACGTCTGCGAGACCGACTACTGCGAATACTACGGAGAAGACGAGAAGATGACTTTCATCGCCGAGGTCGGTACCTACTTCCAAGCCATCTCCCAGTACTTGCCCACCAAGGTCCAACAGTACTGCGAGGCCTGCGAGGAAAGTTATGACTACTGTTACGCTATGTCCACCGGTGCCACTTACTACCCTGAGGGTTACGAACCCGAAGAAGAGGAGGCCGAAGAGGAAGAAGCCGAAGAAGAACAAGGCGAGGAAGAAGGAGAAGGCGAACAAGAGGGAGAAGAAGGAGAAGGCGAACAAGAGGGAGAAGGAGAGGAAGGTGGCGAACGTCGTCGCTTGATCAAGAAGGCCCGCAAGCTCGCCAACAAGCGAAAGCTTGCCAACAACCAAGTCATCAAATTCGTTGACTGCGGCATGTGCGCCGACTACGAATGTCTTGACTTCCACGAGAAGACCGCCAACGCGTACTACGACGAAAACGGTGACTACGTAGAAGCCGAACTCGATGACGCCATGGAATGGTTGGACGGATTCTCGGAATGTGCCGAGACCAACGCCTACATGGACGACTACCAAATCTACTCGAACCTTATGTGTAACGCCGATGGAACTGGTCTTGAAATTGGTCTTTTCTTGAACGACGAATGTACTTTGTACACACCCAAGCTTGCCTACAAGGACATCATGCAAGATGCCGACACCACATACTACAACATGATCTCCGATGTTGTTGAATTCACTTTCACCAACGAAGGAATTGAATGCTACAACCCCGAGGTTGTCTGGTACAACGAAGTTGACTACTACTACGAGCAATTGGAGCGTGCCCAGAACGGAGAAGAGGAAGAGGAAGAAGAAGAGGAGGACAACGGTGAAGAACCTGAAGCCGCCGAATGGTGCCAAGACCTCATTGGAGAAGACTCTGCTGTCGATCTTTACGACTGCGATTACGAAGCTCCTGAACAAAACGATGATGAAGAGCAAGATGACTACGTCAACAGCTACGAATGGTACTCCTTCGAGCTCACCGAAGAACAAATCGATGACGTGAGCTCTGTATGTGCCATCTACACAGGTTTGGCCACTGCCGCCAATGCTGAATACGACGAGAAGAGTGGATCTTACCAGAACTACAAACCTCACACTGTCTACAACGGAGAAAACGAAGGACTTTTCAACTACGAGAAGGCCTCTACCAAGTCCGGAATGAGCGGAGGTGGCGTATTTGGAATCATTCTCCTCATCGCCGTTGTCGGAGGAGGAGCTGCTGCCTTCTTGATGAACAATGGAGTCATGGGTGACAAGAAGAAGCCCCTCATCAGCGAGGCCGAAGGAACCATGGCATAAATATTATCCGTGGTTGAATACCATCGGTCTGTCCTTTGACCGATGGCACACGCTTTGATTTGAATTCAATGTTCTTATCAATCTATGTTCTTGCCGCCTTTCTGGCAGAGAAACCATTTTGTACTACACGTGAAACCTAACTTAATCAAAAGTATCATACATCATACAATACGTCTTTGAAATACTAATAGTAGTACGATGAAGCGGCGGCATTCATTGAATAGCTCTTACCATCATTGACTGACGTCATATGATATTGATTACTGTACCGAACACCAAGAGTTTTAAAGTACGAAGCTGGTATAATTTCCGAAGATTACCTGTGCCGGTGCAAATAGTTTGTATCTATTTTGGAACCGGGATTCCGAATCTATCACGAAAAAAGGAAAAAAGCCTCGTCTCTCTTTATTATTATTTAGCAATGCGACGCGAATGCTTGGATTGGATTCTTGTGATGCAGAACCGCGTGCATCGGTGGCCAGAACCACGCGCAGCTGTATCGCCTCGCACCAGGATCAAACCGATGGCTTCGCCAGCCGAACCTGTCCAAAGACGTCCTGTCGAACCTCGTCGAAGAATGGGTGGTACATTGCCTGCCGGGCGGTCCAGCGCCGATCGCCGTCGTAGACCAGAACCTTGTCGAGGAGGTCCATGCCCTGGGACTCAAAGAACGTGGGTTGTGGTGGGAGTTGTGGTTCCCGTTCTTCCGCGACGGGCAGGGGCGCCGCTGCTGCCGCTGGCGAGTGCGCCAAAGATGCCCTTGCCGGCAGAAAGTCCGTCCAGGACCTCCGGTGGGCGTGCTTCCCCTTGGCCAGGTAGCCATCGATCAGGGCCCGGACGTCGGCCGGCAGGAGCTCGTAGGCCGCGTGCTCGTGGTCCCCCACGCACCCGAGCAGGTCGGTCGTTCCCAGGACCTGGACGATCACCCCCAGCTGGTCCACGTTGTTCTTGCCCCGGAAAAAGGGTTCCTTGCGAAACAACAGCCCGGCCAGGATGCAGCCAAAGCCCCACAGATCGATCGCGTAGTCGTAGTAGCCAAAGGACGGCCCCAGCAGGAGCTCGGGCGACTTGTAGTGCCGCGAGGCGACGCGGACGTTGTACCGGGTCCCCGGGTGGTAAAAGTCGGCGAGGCCCAGGTCGATGAGCATCAGGGGCGAGCCCGAGCGGGGAGGGCGTGCTCCTGCTCCCGCCGCTGGCGTGGTGGTGGCTCGGCCGGTCTTTGCGTTCGCGGCCTTGCCCGGGAAATGGCGCTCGGCGATCGCCGTGTTCCCCATGGCCGCCGTCCAGGCACGATCGATCAGCACGTTCCGTGGTTTCACGTCCCGGTGCATGATTCCGCAGGAATGCAGGTGATCGAGGGCCACCAGCAGGTGCAAGAGATAATAGCGGATTTCGTATTCGCTGAGGTACGAGTCCGACTCCACGGACGAATCGGCACCCTTCTCGTGGTGCACGCCGGCGGAGACCGCCGCTCCGTTCTTGGCGTGCTGTTGTTGCTGCTGCTGCCGTTGCCGTTGCAGCCTTTGTTTCTGCTGCTTGATGGGATGGCAAAACCAGTCGCCGTGGCCGTGTTCGAGCACCAGCGTTGGCATGGATCGGATGGGGTACTTTTTGTTGTTGTTGTTGCTGTTGCTGCTGCTGCGACCACCGCCTAGCTTGTTGCGATAGTCCTTCGGGAGAACGATGGCTTTGATCCTTGCTAGATTCGGCAGCCGGGAGGCGTGCCGCAAGATCAAAAGCTCCCGTTTGATCTTTTTTTCCGCCACGGGTTTGAGGCACTTGAGGACAACGAGCGTTTCCGGATCCGGGGTGGCCGCTGCCGGTACCAACGAGAAGCTGCGGTTGCTCCCGATCGGGGCATCGGCGACCGAGTGCGACGACGGGGAAGAGGGAGGCCGCTGTTGCTGCCGCCGCCGTTCCATCTGCGCGTCGACCGCTTCGAAGACGTCGCTGAATTTCCCGGCCCCGAGCCGCTTCACCAGCAGGTAATCCTCGTTCGACTTGATGGGGACGTTGGTGATCATTCCGACGTCGTGGATCGTGATCGGAACCGGGGGAAAGACCGAGTTTTCGTAATCATAGTAGGCAGGATCTCGGTGCGAGCACCCCAGCGGATAGGCCTTTTCGGCTTGCACAAAAGGGAGAATGATCGCTGTTGGGGTGACATCGACAGTCATCAGCATGGACACGGACTGCAGTATCGAAATAGATAGTATGGACAGCCATGCCAACCTGGTCGGATGTTGGTGTCGATGTCGATGCCGGTGCAGATGCCGATGCCGATGCCGATGTCGGTGCTTGTCTTGTCGGGGGTTCAGTGGCATCATATTGTTTTTGTATTCTATTTCGTTGCTACTGTAGTTCTCGCTTCCATTACTGTATTATTCTTTCATTTGCATCGCCTAACATTTCTTGAAGCACGTTGTCCAAGTTTGACAATCACCAATCAACAATGATGGTCGTTGCTTGTCCAGCTACTACTAAGATAGTGTTGTGGTAATCTACTGGTACCACGCAAAGTCGTCAGAGTGCTGAAAGAGTGACTGGGACTCGTTCAAGTACTCGTATCCTCCAAGAAGGACCCTTCCATACTGCGAACAGTGGAAGTCTAGGAATAAAACTGTACTTCGTACGGTACGGTCGAAACAAGAAAAACTCAAACTTGAACATTCATTCTTTTTACATACCTCCTACCAATATTTTTACATACCAATATTCCTACTCGTACGTACGGACGTATGTACTCATACCAGTACCGCTAGTTTGATACGATTTCAAATTTCAATGCTGACATGTATTCACGGATGACTGCAAGACCGAGTAACTATTTTTAAATCTCGGCTGGCTTTTTCGTTGTTTTGCAATTTTGAATTCCTAGGCTCCGTTGATGTCAGAAAATCTTTTCACGGAATACAGCAGTGAAGGTTTTCTTCCTCCTGAAATGGAAGCATGGTGCTTGCTTCCAGAACCGTATGACACTTGCGTCCTGCCGCTGCAAACGACACCGAATCAAAGATACAAATAGTCGATACTGTCATAAACGGCACACGAAATGACGACCAATATGAGCGACGACGACGAGGACTTTTGGAGAGAATTGGCCTCGGACATTGCCAATGGATTGAACAACGAGAGCGAATTGGACGAGGAGGGATCGGTAGAATCGTCCTCGTCCCTGGAATTCCTTGGCGCACACAACCCGCCAAAGCCCGGCACGAAGCCGAAATCAAAGCCAAAAAAGAAGAAATGCAACGACGAAACCAGTCACTACCACTGCTACTGTCTCCGCTCCCTCGATCCGAGGCACCCGTTCAAAAACTACGTCGGCTTCACGACCGACCCCGGCCGCCGGCTCAGGCAGCACAACGGGATCCTCAAGCACGGCGGCGCCTGGAAGACCAGGCGCGGGGGTCGCCCGTGGGAATTCGTCGTCGTGGTGGCCGGCTTTCCGACGCACACCATGGCGCTGCAGTTCGAGTGGGCCTGGCAACACCCCCACAAGTCCCTCCTGGTCCGGGCGGTTCTGGGCGACGAAAACGCCAAGAAGGTCAGGCGCAAGCGCGGGACTCCCGGGCAGCTCTGCATCCTCAAAACGCTCCTGGAACACTGCCCCAAGCTCTACGATTGGAACGCCCTGGCGCTCTACTTTTTCAAAAAGGACTGCATGGCTCTCTACGAAAAAGCGATCGCGGTGCCGGCCCTGCCCCCTCCGATCGTCGCGGCCAACCTGGCCGCGCTGGAGGGCGGCAAGAGGGGCAAGGTTGCCAAGGGGGCGCAGCAACAAGGCTCTGGCCGGGGGGAACCTTGCACATCCAAGGATCCCTCGGGCGGAGGCGCCCCCGTGCCGCCTCCGGCCGTCTCGACAAAGCTTATTGCCTCGCTCGAAAAGATGCCCTTTTCCGCGGCGCGGAACCGAGGGACCTCGCGGGGGAGGGGTTCCACCGCTGCCGGAGGCGGGGGCTGCGACAACCGTACCCAAGGGTCGGAAGCAGACCGCGGTGGCACGCCCTTCGGTGGCAACAGAGATGGCCACAAAGACCAAACCGCCGGCCTAGGCGATCTCTACCGCCGATGCTGCGATTTCGGACTGTCGGACGAAACGTCCTCGTCGGAGGACGACGAAACCATAAGAAACGGCGACAGACGACGGCTCCGGAGACGACGAAGAGAGCGTGCTGTCACGCCTTGCCCTGCTCCGTGTGCTGTGCCTCCTACAAGCATCGCTAACAATTCACAAGAAACGGAGAGTGACGAAGATGTTTTGTTGCTGGCGGACAGCATGAGAGAAATAGGCATGAAACCAAAAGGCTCGGGCGAAAAATGGGACGATATTTTGAGTTTTTCTTCGTCGTCGTCGTCTTCCTCCTCCTCTCGAGATTTCGCGGTTCAGCGCATTTCTACCGTACCAACTGCTCATGGCAAGGCAGATCGAACCAAACCGAATCGGCGGACTTTGGTGTCGGGAATACCATCGTTTTCCGGAACAGAGGACAGCGATGGCGTTGTGGAAAGAAAGACGTGTGCACTCCCACTCGAGAACATCACCAACCGTGGTTCCAATGGCAGCACCCTGAAAAATTCGATCCCAATCTCTGCGGGGCAACGAGAAAACAAGGCTTTCGCATCGGACGACCAAGACAGCGCAAACGCCGATGACGGTGCAGATTCCTGGACGATTTTCACGGACGATGATTCGTCGGGGGTTGGTCCGAGTGGCAAAGAGATTGCTTCTCGCTGCGGGCGCAACGGAGACCGCGGCGTGCTTCCCTCTCTGGCGCTCGAGTCGCCCACCTTGTCGTCACMGATTTCCGGACGCCCAATCAAGACGAAACGCCTGTCCATAGTCGATCTCTGCACTCCGTGAGAACCAAAAGAAGAACAGGAATCGAATGACAAACGTTAATCAATAAAAATCTGCTATTCTAACCTACAAGCAATCCAGCCGGCATCTATACTTCAAATTCAATAGTCGTTTAGCTTAGAATCCGACGAGGACGGGAGCAGATTGGATCGGATGATACTTGGGTGCATGATCGAGACTCGTCGGCCTCTCGCCATAGGAATAAAAACAAAAAAGAACATTACTTTGCGCAATTCCTAATGAAGACACGTCGTGTGCCATTTCACGACGCGAGGGGCAACTCATCATGGCAGATCAAAGAGACAAACGATTGACATTGGAGGATGCATTGCATCTCTTGTCTTCCGTACAGTACAGCATTGGGTGGGTCACCGAGTCATTGCAACATAAATTACCCATGGCCATTGTTGTTTCCTCCTGTCCTCCCTCTTGTGCTGGTTGTTGATGCGAAGTCTCAAAACGAATCCGACGGCCAAACAAAGTGCTCCGCTGGCAGTTTTTGGTTGGCAATGGCTTTGTGGTTGCTGCCCTGGCCACAAACAAACTCGAGGAAATCAGAGACGTCACACGATTTTGTTTCTTCCCCGTCGGCCTTTGGTTGCGAGACCAGCGATCGGTACATCCAACCGTTGTCATTTTCGGTGCGTTCCGACTCCCAATCAAAACGAAATACGCCATTGGTCGTGCCGGCGTCCTCGGTTTTGTCGTCGCTGCGAATTTCGTTTCTCACAAACCTCGGCATCTTCAGCCGTACCGTGAGCTCGTCGGTTGTTCCCCCCGCTGCCGTCGCGGTGTTCGAAGCGCCTCGAAAGGGCTGGTCGCTGAAAGGTTTGGAAGCCACGGCAGCGTGTGCTACTAATGTCCCTAGTGCGAGACCTGTTGGAATAGCACATCCCCCAGGTGGCGCTGCTGACAGGTTCCTTCCAAATTCCTTTAATTGGAAGCAAGGGAATCCCTCCTCCCTGTTCGGAGACGATGAATTAGATTGCTGCAGTGAGAGCCACGCAAGAATCGTCTCGCCATTTGTATCCTTTGTTGCATTCTCGCTCCTTGGTGCGGGACCCGTCGTCAGAACAAACAATGATCCCTCTAGTTCCTGGCTTAGATATCTGGTCCAGTAGTCCTTGCTGCGTGTCAGGCATCCCGCCAAACGCTCTTCGGAATATTGTGCGTGGAGCTCCTGCAACGCCTCGGTGTCCCCGGGGAAACGAGCCTGTCGAACTACACACCGATCGCTCTCTTGCATAATGGGAGCATTGTCATTGCCATTCGCCAAAGTGCTCGTTTTTGTCATCACTACCGAAGACCATTGGTTTCCGCTCGTGGTAGGACTGTACCCCATGGACTCGTAGAGCGGGAAGAATACCGGTGCGGCGTGCAGGGAGGAAACCTCCAATCCCCGCTCCCTCATGATCGGGATGGTGCTCTTGAGCAGGGCCGTAGAAATGCCCCTTCGCCGGTGTTCCACAGCGGTGCAAACCTCGCCTATTCCGCCGGCCCTCAACCCACGAGCACCGCGGCCTTTTCCGCTCGAAATGGTCCTCAGAAATATCCGGCACGAGGCCACGATGTTGCCGTTGTACAGAGCTACTCGTATGAGCTTGCTGCTGCCCCTAGAAGGATCGTTGGCGTAATGCCGATAAAAGTATTCGGCCGGAGGAGGATTCGCCTTGTAGGAAAAGACACTGGCACAGAATTCCGACCAGGGCCGAACCTCCTCTTCGTTGAGGCCTCTCAAGATATATGAATGCTGTTCCTCATTCAGGGTTTCACTATCGCTATGTTCGTTTCCTTTCTCGGCGACGATTGGGACGTTGTAAACTTGCTCTAGGTTTTCCATTGTCGCCATGGTGAAGCTATAAGCTATCGCATCCTGCTGTATTGTGGATGTGAAGATCGTGTTCGAGTTTCTACTCGGATTGTTCCTAGTTTTTGTCTCGATATCGGTGTAGCGAGTCGCGCAGTGCCGGGACTGAATGAATTAGTGCGCAACGCGCACTAAACAGCCAATGAGTGGCCAGGAGCAAGCTCAGCTTGCAAAGGAACAGCAGCAGCAAGAGGTGCGCCCTAGAGCTCAGCAGCAAGTATACTAGTGGTCCCCAAGAGCCACTATTGCTAATGAAGCAAGCCAGTAATAGTAGTAACTAACTAGGAGCTAAGCGATCAAAGTTGGACCGGGGCCAGCCTACTTGCCCGCCCCAGTCCTGCTGTTTTCCCATTGCCGACAATGGGGAGCACAGCCGATCCGAGGCCCACACGGTATGCAGACCTCTTCCAAGACCCTGCGGCAGACCCTTTCGGCCGCGTTGAAGGCCTACGAAAGACTGCCTACGCGGGTATCTACCGTAAGTTCCGTAGCGTCGAACCCGGGTCCCTCACCGCCGAGAGACTCTTAGAACAAGTATTGAACCTCTTTGAGGCCCAAGCTGTAGGAGGCATGGGGATATTTGTGAATGATGCTGATTCTATCCCACGGTTACGAGTCATCCACGGAATAAGGAAGTATCCTGGAAGCCTCTTAGTTGCCTCGGCGAACACCAACAAAGTCTTTGGATTCCTAGATGATGTTGTATCAGGTCGTGGAGAACTGGTCCGCGTAACCACCAGTATGTTTGGCCCTACACGAGCTGTACGGGTCCTCCACCTTCAGCGCCATATCCTGGAAATGGACACGAATCCTGACCTTGACTACGTGGGCCCCATTGCACCGCCGGACGCCGGCGACGATGACAACACCACTGAACTGTTGCAGTGTAGACATACCTTCTTCCTTCCCTTCGAGGTAGTCCCCCTGGTGTTGGGCAAGATGCTCACTCCGCGCGAGGCCCTCCGCATCCTACATCCTTGGCTAACCGAGAGGGGATTGGATAATACCGCAAAGCCCTTGATCGACGCACTCCGTATCGCTAGCACGCAAGTGACCACGGCCCAGGGCGACCTGGCAATTTGCGAGATCGCTGCAACCGAACCTGGACCCCTCTTCCGTTCCGAAGCCGCTCTCACCCTCTACATGGATGCCAAAGTCCTCCATCGGGACTTGGTCGGTTTAATAACGGTCCCCTCGCACGTGGGACCGGAAACAGCCGCACTCACCGCGGCTGTGTCCACGCTCACCGACAACCAACTCAAGATGAACGAAGCCAATGAACGACGCCGTACGGAAGAAGCGAAGCCGGCCACCATGGAAGACGTTTTCGGTGCCCTCAACGAACGTCGTATCCTTGGCCTGTGTCTCGTGGAAGAACCCGATGATCTTCCTCCAGTCTACACAGGATGGACCAAGAAGAAGAAGGGCGAAAAGATACATGCACTCTTTCAAAGTTATGTGGATCAGGCGGCACGGGAACTCGRCCTACAGGCTCCGTTTGTCCCTACACCTGTCCTCAAGACCTTTCAAGCCTTCCGGTTTTACGGCGTGGACGAGTGTGACCTAGGGGATGGGATCCTCCCTATGGCCTTTGCTCCCCCGGGGGGGTCCCCCACGGCCCGGAAACGGCAACTAGAGGAAGCCAAGGCCGCACTCGCCTACGACACACTTATGTCTACGGAAGGAAATTCACTAAGCCTCTCCGACGCACTGACACTAAGCAAATCCAATGGACACATACCGCTCGATTGGACCGAATCTCTGATGCAGCTCGAAGGCTATCTCCCTGTCCTGGCCACGCTAATTGGAGTCGAACATCCCCTGGTGAGGAGTTACATTACTGGGTTGGATCGCCTTAAACAGATCCAGTTAACTCTACGGCACGCCCTCGTAGACGAGTGCGGGACTAAGCTAGCCCCTGCAATACTGGTATACTACTTCCAACTCAGAGTACGGTGCTGGTTAGAAGAGCAATGGGAAAGTGATACTACAGTGGAGGTACCTAGCTTCACTCAGGACTTACGCCTATTTAAGATGGCCAAGAACCTAAGCTGGCTCCCCGTCGTTACGGATGTGCCTGCTTTGCACAACCTACAGCTATCCACGCAYRGGAACAGCTCCCCCAAGTCTGGAGGGAAGGTCGGCGGGAAAGGRGGCAACACCAGCCGGTCCAGTAGCAAAGCCGGCAACTCAGGCACACCTCCTGCCACCGCCACTAACCAAGTGAGGGTCGAGAACCCATCACAGGATCCCCGTATCTCCCAAGCCGGGGGGGAATTAGGTTCCCGCATTCGAGGCTGGAAGATTTCGAAAGCTATGGGGATCATGAAGGAGAAAGGGAAAGGACCTTGTCTCCGCAACGACAGCAAAGAAATGTGCCACTCCTGGAGGACCAAGGGGTTCTGCTATGAAAGCTGTAAACTAAGCTACGACCATTACGAAGCCCCCGAAGACGAGAAGGACCGGTTCTGGGAATGGTGCCAGGAGGCCTACGGCCCCCAATGAGAGCGGGGCAGGCAGCCTGCTATCGTCTCCGCAGCTGCTGTGCCACTGCCCCYGTCGGTTCAAAAGCGGTCGGTGTCAGATGCAGCAGTTCCAGGGAGTCCCCTCGGCAAAGAAGCCTTCTTCACTACAAAGGAATTAGGTAAGAAATGTAAACATGAGTATGACCCCCTAATAGTTAACACGGTGGCGGAGCCCGTTTCGCCCCAAGATCAGCCGGATCTACACGAGGACAGCCGAGACCCCGCGGAGGATACGGATCGCAACAACCCTTCCATTGAGGCCAGTGACCGAGATCAGGCCCGAGGGTCCAGCAGCCCAGGACCAGTGCCACGTGGGGGAACCGAGCCTCCTCACCAAGGTCCTGTCTTAACTAAGCCAACCGCAGTCGCCCGGGAATACCCGCGAGACCGGTTGGATTGCCACGTGGAAAGAGCAGTAGCAGCCTACCGSAACGCCGAAAGCTGGGGGAGCTTCATACGCTCCGTACGGGGTCGAGGGGACCTCCACCCGGAGGTGGGGAGCCTCCCCCATCCAGCAGCACGGCTTCTACAGCAGTTCCAGCAGGAGGGAACTCCCGCCACCATGTCTCCTCCTCCCTGGTCCCCGGGACGAGTAGCCGCCGCTCTAGCTCGAGGACCACATAAAKCCTCCCTCAATGGGATCGGTTTCCTGCGAGAGGAGTATGCAGACATGATGGATAAGCAACAGTGGACAGTACTCCCAGCACGGTTGATCAAGGACGTACCAGGCCTACGGCTAAGCCCTTTGGGCCTAGTTCCGCAACGGGGGYGGCGGGATAGGATGATATCTGATTACAGCTATTTTGGGGTCAACGACGAAACCCATCCTATAGCGCCAGCGGAAGCGATGCAGTTCGGACGGACCCTGCAAAGGCTCCTCCAACGCATTCACAGAGCCAACGATAGCTTTGGACCCGTCTATATGTCCAAGATCGATCTCTCTGATGGTTTCTACCGGCTCTGGGTCAAGCCAGAGGACACGATGGGACTGGCAGTACTATTTCCCGCTCGTCCGGGCGAAGAAGCCTTGATTGGAATACCCCTCACCAATCCTATGGGGTGGTGTTCCTCGCCTCCAAACTTTAGTGCCTGCACGGAGACGGTGGCGGATCTGGCGAACACCACACTTGCCRCACCAGCGGGGATGCTCCACATGAGAGCACAGCCGCACCGTCTGGATGAGATCTCCGAATCGGCCGTAGGGGAGGAAGCACCACCGCAACACGATCTTAGGCCCCTCCTCCCCGCACTTCCGTCCGCAACGAATCYGCAGCGGAAGCCGGTCCGATACTGGGATGTATATGTGGATGACTTCTGCGGACTGGTACAGGGGAACAGGTGGACCAGGCGGGCGGTGAAAAGAGCCCTACTGCATTCGTTGGACCGAGTCTTCCGCCCCCTTGATGACCAGGACACACAGTACCGACAGGAGCCCGCYTCGCTCAAAAAGCTGTCCAAAGGGGATGCCACGTGGGCGACAACAAAGGTGATCTTGGGATGGTTGATAGATACAGTACACAAGACCATCACACTCCCTGAGCACAGRGTCGAACGCCTCCGCATCATCCTCCAAAGTGTCCAACCCACACAGAAATATGCCAAAGTATCCGACTGGCATAAACTATTAGGAGAGCTTCGATCGATGTCCATCGCTTTACCGGGCTCCCTGGGCCTCTTTTCACTGCTGCAAGAAGCTTTGCGGCATAAGGAGGAGAATCGYCAGCGGTTGCGGCTAACCGCAGCTCTACACAGCTTCCTGGCGGACTTTCGATGGCTCGCTGAGGATATCGCTTCTCGTCCCACCAGGATTGCAGAGCTCGTGCCAGATATTTGGCCGGCCACTATTGGAGCCTGTGATGCAGCGGGGGACGGGATGGGAGGGGTGCACTTCATTCCCTTGCCAGGGGGAGACATCCAGCCGATCTATTGGCGGCAACGATTCCCCCCTTGGGTCAGGAGGGACCTCGTCTCTTTCTCCAATCCCAGCGGTTCCATCACCAATAGTGAACTAGAGCTCGCAGGGTCCATTGGTCACCTAGATGTACTTGCACAAACAGCTAAGGTCRCTGAACGGACAGTCCACAACCTATACGACAACACGGCTACGGTCTCTTGGCAACGCAAGGGTGCCGCCACCACAACGGGGCCCGTCGCGTACCTTCTTCGGTTGCAATCCCTACATCAAAGGATGTTTCGCTATKTCCCCTTACACGATTACATCCCCGGGCCCGCCAATGTTATGGCGGACACCTTGTCTCGAGCTTGGCACCTCGACAACTCACAGCTCCTCCAACATTTCAACCGCTCGTATCCACAGAAATTGCCTTGGATCGAATGCCAGCTGAGAAAGCCTCTGTATTCTGGACTGATCTTGGCACTATCCAGGAGGAGATGCGATCCTGTGTTACTGAAGGGTACTCCYGAAAGAAGGANGGTATCGGTGTAGCGAGTCGCGCAGTGCCGGGACTGAATGAATTAGTGCGCAACGCGCACTAAACAGCCAATGAGTGGTGAGGAGCAAGCTCAGCTTGCAAAAGAA